TACCAGCACCAAAGTGTAAAAGACAGGAATTCACGAGGTCTTCCCAGGTCTTTCAATTGTATGCAATTCTGTAACTTAAATTTGGGTATTTTTCTTCGTCAGAAAAAAGTTCACGCATTTAGAGGTAGATATCTCAACAAGGCAGGAAGAATTGCAGAATCATAGATCATTAAGGTTGGAAAAGACCTCCAAGATGATCAAGTCCAACCTTTGACCAAATACCACCATACCCTTTAAACTGTACTGTGAAGTGTCATGTCTACTTGTTTTTTGAACACCTTGAGGGATGGTGACTCCACCACTTCCCTGGGGAGCCTGTTCAATACTTAACTATTCTTTCAGTGCAGCAGTTTTTCCTAATATCCAACCTGAACCTCCCCTGAGGCCATTTCCCCTTGTCTGGGAGAAGAGACTGACCCACACCTTGTCACAACCTTTCAGGTAGCTGTACAGAGCAGTAAGGTCTGTCCTGAGCCTCCTTTTCTCCCGCCCCAGCTCCCTCAGCCGCTCTTCACAGGACTCATGTTCCAGACTCCTTACCAGCTTCACTGCCCTTCTCTGGAAGGGCACATATCCCCTACACCCGAGCAGCAGTGTGGAACCCCGTGTCCCTCAGTGCACATAACCTCAGGAATGGTCAGGGTGTTTTACTGACATCCTGAACAGCAATTCCAGATTCATCAGCTTGCTGTGGAGCTGAGGAAACACAGCAGTAAAGTGCCCTAACTGAACAGGTCAATTTAAAGGAGCTGAAATGGCATTGTGAGTGCTCCTGCCCTGTATTCCATGTATCCCTAAGGAAAAAGGGAACACATGCTCTTAGTCCTGCTCATATGATATAGGCAAACTTGGACTGCTACTTGAAAATGAACATCCCTCTTTCTGAGATGAAGGTGGGGCTGTGAAATAGGACAGGCATGGGGACTAGTTAGTAATACACCTTGGCATCCATTAAGGTAAAACTGCAGTGTGACTAATGACCTGCTGAATCAAACTGAAATTACCTCAATAGACTGAGAAAGGTGAGTAAAAAAGGCAGTAGGGATTATATCTGCCAGCAGGAATCAAGGCGCTCCAACACCATTTGCTAAGAGATTTAAAAATGTGCACATGTGTAAAAATACACACACCTGGTCAAGAAAATACTATTTTATTCTTTTTTTTTTTTTGTTACAAACCTGGTAACAGTTGTCTGTTCTTTATAGACCATAACTTTCATTTACTAACTCAGAAGCCTGTAACTTAGGCTAGGGATTTACTCATTTTTTGTTGTCATCATTTGTGTCTCTACTTATTTAAATGGATATATTGTTAAAGAAACCCTGTACTTACCCCTGTGTAGTAGTCAGTACTTAGGGACATCTGAGTCATGTATTTCCTGCCATCACAGTGCAGGGTTAACTGCTGAGAACAAAGCTATCTTCTGGTAGTTCTGTCCCACCTGAATGATCCACAGCAGCTGTGTGCCACATTTAGCTGGCAGGTTAAACTGACCTTAAGGCTAATGGAGCAGGATAGCTGAAAGGCTCTTGTTTATCTGACCCAACACATACTGTTTCAAGGGTTGTGTAAATATTGAGATGCATCAGCTATTCTAGATAAATTTGTACACCAACTGCCTGCTTGCTGAAGCGCTGAAAGGGCTGTAGTTACAAGTGATTTAAAATTATCTCTTTGTCAGGTCAATTAGAAAGGAAAAATAAGACTTAGAGGACCATGTTAGGATTTTTTTTTAATTCTCAGTTTCAGAATCAACGATGTTGACTACAGATCACCTACAACCCCTTCATTTCCAGTCAGTAAAAGAGGGTTTATACTGAACTTCATATTTACCTATATGAAAACAGACCAGAAGGAAGACAGTACACAGAATCTGACACTGTCTCACCAAAGACAAATGGTATAACATGTCAGGAAAAGGCTTAGAAAGATAACCTCCATCAAGGAGGTGCTCAGGCATGTAACAGAGGCAAGGAATCTGGCCAGTCTTTTTTCTGCACTGGCTCTTTTCTGTCTGCTTACTGGAAAAGTCTCACAGACCTCATCCTTAACAGTACAGATTCCAATATTTGACATGGAAAAGCTCTTATCTTTTATTTTGGGAGATGAATGTGTTTAGAGCATGAAGAAAAACAGCTTCCAATGTACACTGTTAGGAGTTTTGTTACTGTACAACACATCCGCATGTAGTTTTTAGCTAAGCATCACTTAGTAGCTCTGTGAGACACCTGTATTTATGAGACATAACACTGACAACTTCTACATATTCAGCTTTGACAAGACAGGACTGAGCATTTATTTCAGTATGATCAGTTCATTTTTTATCACTTCCTAGAACTCAAAATATGCTTTTTCAAATAAAACTGTTTAAAAAATCGAGAAGGTAAAAAAAAAATCTAACTACACAAAAGAAAGTGCTCCTGCCCTGAAGAGCATCCAGTATCACACATGATATGACACATCACTGATGTTAACCAACTGATACAAACCAAAATGAAAAAAAATCCTGTGCATATAAAAGTTTCAACAAACGTCCAGTTAAAACATTCTTTCCAGAATCAAAGCACACAGCCTCAAGAAAAGGTGAGAAGAATAAAACAAAATAAAAATCCAATCTCAACAAAAGCCCTGTTTTTCACTAGAGATAGTCAGTTATCAAGTTAAAAATATCTTTCAGCGTTTTAACGTTAAATACAAACACGATTAATTTTTATTGCAAACACATATTAACTTTTAGTATAATACATCATCACTAAGACTCATCTTTTTAGTGCAGAGTTGCTCTTATGTAAAAAGCAGATGTGCCTAAGGCTTCCGAAGTGATTTTTCCAACACCACCTGATTGGTAGATATTGATTGTGTAAACATGTAAGTAACGGATAGGCTTTACTATTAAGAGAGGAGAAGAAGGTGCAAAATCTCCTTTGTAGCATTTTAATAATGAATTAACAAAATCTTACTTCCCTATCATGTGCAACATGGAGTGTCCTTGGTAAAGTTACAAAACAATGATGCACACTGGAAGAGTCTGGATGCAAGATGAGTGCAATTAAGTAGGCACTAAACCATCTTTTCATTCTACACTTCATCTGACCATCAATATCCTCTATTTTGTTACCAATAAAAAACGATCACCTTTATAAAGCTCCTGCAAGCATGCTGCATTACAGTAAGAGCAAAGTACAATGTCAGATACTGAAAGAAATCTCCAAAAGCCTTTTCCTTGAGGACCTTGAAGTTTACCTATTCAAATAGCCAAGGCCATCAGTTAAGCCTTTTCTTCCCAGATCAACCTTATATAATACTGGGATTCTGTATTTGATTCCTTGGAATTTAGGCTGGTGCATCTATATTAAAGATAACACTTTTTAGAAATTAGTATCAATGCACATGCAAATCATTTACTCTTTCTATTTCCGTATTGCCAACTGATTGATAGATATATATATAAATATATATGTATGTATTTAAAAAAATGTAATCTGTACAATTTCTTATAAGTGTGTGTGTGTGTGAGTGCACACACAGATAAACATTTATTACTCTGGCCACAAATATCTCAGTTAGACAGATCAGTAGTCATAACAATGAAATGCCACAGTTTGCCTTGCAGATTTTATTCAAAAACTAAATTATTTATTGTGTCAACTACAATTAAAGCTTTTTGTTACATGCATGTATTACAACTTCCAAGTTTCTCTCCTGAATTATTTGCTTTCTTTGTATTATCTGTGTATTCACAAAAACATTGTTGTCTTCTACGTGGGTGGGAATGACTGTTTGATGTAAAAAGACTGTTTTCAGTCTATGATGAATCATCAACTAATTCCTTCAACAAAAGTTAGAATATCAGCATGCAGAGAATACTGTTACCAAAATATTTCTTGATACTACCAAAGAGGTTTACCGGGTTGCTTACCCCTTTGTGGCATTTCAATAAAATAGGTCCCCTACTAGTACTGCATCTTAAATATAGCACATCGTGAGTGTTCCATGGAAACCCATTTGAAAAGTTGTGCCTGTGCCCTCCTTGCACAGAAGCGTTCCACACTAGAGCAAAGAGGATTTGGACCCTCATGCCCAAACCTCAGCTCAAACTGCACAGCAGCATTTGGTAGACGAATCAGTTATCAGAATATTCATATCCCATGCTACAAACATGATTTCCAGGCACAATCCAAACCAGAGAGTGACAAGGACCACGTTGTGTATGGGCAGTGATGAGGAGTCTCACCTACTCCTTGGTTCACAGTCTTCACAAATTAACTCCAGTAGGGAGATCTATATGCAATAGGGTTGAAGGAGGCAAACTCCTGCTTTTTAAAACACGCAGTTCACTTTTAAAACAATATAACCACATAAAACTAATATCATAATCTGCAAACATAAACTGTAAACTAATTTTTCCCAGAAACATATGCTGCACATGTAGCTTTGCTAACTTAAGACCAAATTCTTATCTGTACACAAACTCATTGCCTAAGTACAGAGATACCCTGTGCTACACGAAGAACAGAAACTATTGAAATAATATGTCCCATACACAACATTCCTCAATTCCAAATAAAAGAAAGCTTGTATTTCCTTTGGAGAAGAACTCTCACCAATTCAGTACTGCAGACAGCTGACAGCTGCACTACATTTACCTAAGGAAAATAAACAAACTTATATAAAGTACTTTCCGTACAGTGCCTATCTGAAATACTTTAAGCACAACTCCCAATGATAACTACAAACAGCTACATAATTCAAACAGCAAATAGGTAGGAGCTTCCAAGTGACTTCCAACTTTTACAATGATGAATAGTTTTATATAATTAACAAGAAGTCAAAAGGATACAAGTTTACTAAGTCATTTTGAGCAAGTCACAAACTAAACACCACAGGGAGTCCATTTTATCATCTGTTCAATTAAAAATCATCATGCTTATCTAACCATAAAATTTACTTTATTTTGAGAAACAGGAATCATTCTTTAGACACACAGATTTAGTACTTACGGGTAAAATGATTAGAAGTGGATGGATTGACACTATCACCACTGTCAGCACTTTCACTGCTAGAAATGTCATCATCTGATTCCCGCACAGAGGAACAAGGTGAGGAGCCATCAACTTCTTCAAACTTCCTCTTTAAAATTCCACTCATCGCTGCAATGCTGTCACACGCACCTGTAACAGGAACAGAAGCAACGAGACACTGAAACATCCAGCTGCAAAATACGCACTCATAACCTCCAAAGTAATTTTTACTTAGAAGTACCAATAAGTTGCCACTTCTAGTGTTGAATAACCATTTAGTATGAAATTACACATAATTAATTAGGAGACAGCGAAGCCATAGGAAAAAAAAAATCTTAAGTCGTACTTTAACTTGACATGTATGGAGATGGTTATTTCACTAGGATAATGTGTAACAGCTTGCTTTCAGGGAGTATTTTTCCCATTTTGATGTCAATAGCATCCCTGGTTTCTTGGTTACGTTGTGAAATTTCAAACAAAGAAACAACTTGCAGTTTCTCTTCAAAGAGCCTGACTTGGTCCCTCCCTTGGCTGCCATAGGACAAAGGAATGTTCACAATCAGGGATGAAATTAAGTAAGAAGAAATCATCCTGAACACTACAGTTCCCATTACCAAATATATGTGATCTAACCAGTGCTCACATCCCTCTATAAGAAATCCATCTCATAATTCCAATATTACAGACAGAGAAAAGACAGTGAAGTCACAAAGACCATATACCAATTTAGTGCTCAAAAAATACCTGGAATTCAGAAATTCCTTACCTCAGTCAGAGGCACTAATTGCCTCCCAAATTTTCTCCTCTTCTCCCGCCAGCATGGGGTTATGAAAGGCAGGTTCAGCTTGACTGATCTGAAGCCCTTCTCTGACAAAGTGACCAGTCTAGTGTTTGAAGCAAAAGCTGTGGATGTTGTCTACCTGGACTTTACTAAAGCCTTTGACACCACATTCTTATGGAGAAACCGGCTGCTCACATCTTGTACTCTTCGCCAGGTTAAAAACTGGATGGATGGCCAGGCCAGAGAGTGGGGAGGTGCTGGTCAACAGCAGCTGAACATGAGCCAGCCTGTGCCCAGGTGGGCAAGAAGGTTAATGGCATCTTGGTTTCAAAAATAGTGTGGCTAGCTGGACCAGGGCAGTGATTGTTGCCCTGAATTTGGCACTGGTGAGGCTGCACCTCAAGTCCTGTGTTCAGTTCTGGGCCTCTCAGTACAAAAAAAGACACTGAGGTGCTGGAGTGAGTCCAGAGAAGGGCAATGAAGCTGGTGAAGGGTCTAGAGACCTATGAGGATCAGCTGGGGTTACTTAGCCTGGAGAAGAAGAGGCTCAGAGAGGGCCTTACTGCTCTCTACAACTACCTGAAAGGAGGTTGTAGTCAGGTGGGGGTCAGCCTCTTCTCCCAAGTAACAAGTGACAGGACAAGAGGAAACGGCCTCAAGCTGTGCCAGGGGATGTTTAGATTGGATACTGGGAAAGATTTCTTCACTCAAAGGGTTGTCATGCATTAAAATGGGCTGACCAGCAGAGTGGTTGAGTCACCATTCCTGGAGGTATTTAAAAGATGCCCAGATGTGGCACTTGGGGACATGTTTTAGTGGTACACTTGTCAGTGTTAGGTTAATGGTTGGATTCAATGATCTTTGAGGTCTTTTCCAATTTAAATTATTCTGTGATACCCACATTAAGAAGTAAGATGCCTAATATATTCCTGAGGTTGAATAGAAGATTATAAAGCAAAGTATTCAAGTGGAAATTTAGCAGCAGAAGTAGAAATATCACACGTGATTACAGAGAAAGTGTGCTCTTAAGTAACTGAGGAGAAATCAAGAACAGCTAAAGCCTGCCCAGAGGACACTCAGCTGCCACCATGCTGCCTGCAGCACTGCAAAGACAAGCACTGCTGACACTTATCCAGACAAAAAAATTTGTCTAGGATTAATCACATACTATACTTGCAGAGGACACACACCTAACACTACAGACTTACCACAGAGCTCTGCCAAATCCCACTGAAAGCAAGAAAAATAAAGGAGAAATTTACATTTCTCATGAAATAGAACTTCTTTAAATCCCTGGAGCTACCTTTAGGACTCATTAATTCTGAGCCAGCCACATTCTGCTCCTTCCAGAAAGCTGGAACTAGGTAAGCTCCAGAACTCCCTTCCAACCAACATTTCTATGGTTCTATGTTTAAAAGAACCAATAAATTTGTCAGGAAGCTATCATAAGCTGGGCTAAGTGGCTACTGGTAAAGAAGACAAGGTTAAGGCAGAGACTCCAGTACTGGCCATACTGTTTAACAATTAGCACATTTCAGGGTTTTGGCCCCGGCCACCTCACGCTCTCCTGGATAACGCAGGATGAAGCAGGCACCAGAACCAATCCCAGCAGGCAGGCTGGATGAGGGCACCTGGGTTTTGGCAAAGGCCTGACAGCTTAGCCACTGTGGACAAGAGCTGCATCCTGCCACTTGGCAGCAAAAGACAGAGAATGCTGTCCCTAGTCTGGATCTTTCTTATCTTTTCTATTAGTACAGAGGTAGTATCAGTCATGTAGGTGCTCTGTTCTGACCCTGTAAGCACAGCACTTGAGCAGATTCTCTGCTATTTTGGCTCACACTTAGTCTCGTACCAAGTAGTTTCAAAGTCTCCTATGCATTCTATAGCTCCCTTCAAGTCCCAACTACAGTTTCTTTCCTGGAAAAAAACAAAGCGACAGCATGAAGAGATCTGCATCCAACTTTTGGCCTGGTATGAAGCTAGAACAGGATCAAGGTGAGTATATGAGGATGAAAACTACAAAAAAAACCCCAAAACAAAACAAAACAAAAAATGCCGAACCAACAAAACAACCATTAAAAAAAAAAAAGGAAATAAAAAGCAGGAATCATCAGATTACAGTCTGTAAGACCAATTCAAAATCATAATTCAGCAAACATTGAAGTCTATCTGTAGGAAATTCTGTGGCTGAGGTGACAAGAACATAGTGGTTTCTTTCCATTGCAACAGAAAGTTAGTTCTAATTACTTGTTCTGCTTTGCCGACAAAGCATTCTACCTTGCCTACCAGCTCTTAAGCACAGCAGGAGGGAGTTATGTGCAGGTTTAAACTTGCCTTTTTAAGTCAAAACTAGAAATTACATATACATTATACAACATTTTTATTATATTATTTAATTACAAGGACTAGAACAAAAGTTTTATAATAATGGAGTTCATTCACCTCTTAAGAATCAAAATCTCTAAGAAGAACACAAACGATCACGCCAAGTTTAATATCCTGTCTCCAGCAGCAGTCACTACTTAACGCTTCAGTGGAAAGCAATGGGATGCGAAATCCAGCCACAACCACTGCGGACACACAGCTCTGCTTCCTCATCCTTGCAGTCAATTTCCCCTAAGCATAAGGCTGAAATGTTGCTGTATGACAGTGCGCAGCATCTCAGAAATTCATTTGACTTGATCTCCTGAGGCAACAAATTTCTCATTAGTTTACTGGGAGAAAAAAGCCACAACAAAACACAGCTCCTGAAACTATAGCCACAGACCCTTCAAAATCACAGCAGTTTCAATCTTTACAATATTTTGGACAATAAAGAGCAGCAGAAAAGCACCACTGTCTAGCAGCATGCTGTACTAGACAGAACTCCACTTACACAGGTACTCCCCACAAAGTGGAAACAGCTGAAGAGAAGTCACTGACATCTTCTTGCTATATTATAGTGATATTTCCATTTCAATCACCAGCAGTGATTATATTACATGGGAGGCACAGTACATCTGTTGATCCTGTATGGAACTAGGAAATGCCTTTATATTTGGGGGCTGTGCAGGGAGGGAATGGTGATGGAGACACAAATGGAACTGCAGCATCAAGTTCCTCATCCCAAAGCCAGGGAGTCTGTCCAATGGCTGCAGCTGCCAGAAAGCAGCCGGCATGTTCTGCCTATGCTCTCAATCCCACAGCTGTGCACCCTGAACAGCCTTGCCTCTGGGGAGCTCCCCAAAGCCACACAGCCCCTTGCTGACACTACCCCACTTTTAATGTGGCAACTAAAATGTTCATCAGACAGAACAAGGAAGAGAAAGTGAACAAGAAACTGTGCAGGTCTGAAAACACTTGTGCACTTGGCTGCTATTCAGGTTCTTCCCAATTTTGAGTTAATGATCCCCAGAACAAGATATGGATTCCCATCAGAACATGACAGTAATGTGGAGGGAACACTGGTCCCTGATACAGACAACTTGTGTCTGCTCAGGGAACTAGAGCCCCTAGGGACAGAAAACAAAAGCAGAGGGAGTGATGTGCCATCTCGACAGGTACACACTGCCACCTCACAGTTACACCTGCTCATCTACCCCCTGCAAGGGCACAGGGGCATACAAATGGCTGATTACTGCCTGCTGAATGACAAACAGCTGCTTTCACTGGAGCAATCAGTAACTTTTAAATTACTCCAACATCCTTCTTGGCTTGTCCTCAGATCAAAACCCCTTTTCTAGAAGGCTCTGCCCATCTGTCACCAAACTGTCTTCTTCAAAGGTATGTGAGCTTTTCCAGGGTATCACATTCTCACTTTCAAATTCCCCCAGCATAAAGCACGTCTGCACATACACAAAGTTACAGAGATTTGAGATGCCTGAATAAGTTCATGTTGAAGTTTCCCTGAAACTTCGTGTTCTTCCAAGTAAGGTGTCTAAGAACAAAAGGAGAATGCAGTATAAGTGCAGAGCACACAGAGAAGGAAATAGATGGAAAGGTGGGGCCAGGCCCAAACCCATGAGCAACTGTTTATGTACCTGAAGGCTCGTAATTACAGTGCAGCACTTGGCTTGTACCTGTGCCCACTCTCTTAGGACTGTGACTCTTGGCATTATTTTCTACCCAGAGAAATGGCCTCCACCTAAGCAAAAGATGAGGATGCTCTCCACTACGCAATAGCTTAGAGGCAGGCAGCAGTTACTGAACAACAGATCTGACTCTTCAGCATCCTGGTGAGTTTCTTTGCTGTTCTACTGTGTAAATTAACAAGAAACCCATTCGGCAGCAGATCTTTACAAGAAACGCGTTTTGAGAGGATGAGTGACCCATGCTCTGTTCTTGAAAGGGAAGGTCTGTGTGCCTGCCTTCAGGAGTGGGCACTGGACTG